ATGATGAGGGCAATGAATGTACAAATGTGCTTTACACAATTGATGTGTGTATGGATTGTGATAAGAGTTGCATGAGCCCCTAATAAAATGACTTAAAAAAAAGACTACTATGCTCACCCAATAGTTCTCAATTGAGAACTATTGTTAAGTATTTTACTTTCCCCCATCAATCCTATATTTGTGATAGATATACATGTTGTTAAAGGGCACATACATGTATCATACTGCTTCTTGCTATAGAACTTGCTATAGCATCCACCATATATTTATAAGTTTTCATCCTGGTGATAAATAGCTAAGTTTTATCTAACTACACTACACTACAAACAACACTACCATGCAATTAACAGACTTTCTGAAATCGACCAATATCAAATTTTTAGAGTACATATTCAGGAATGAAGCTTCTAGGCCATGCATTTAGTAAATTTTGACTCTTCATTAGAAAGGAGGTGGTCAAAGCAAATAGTTTACCTGTGAATGAGATCCAAAAGATATTACGGAACCATAAATCTCCTCTAGTGAAAACTTCTCATTTTCTAGATGAGGAAATTTAATTCCAAAGGGAGCAAGGAGCTTACTCAAAGTTACCCAGAAATGCAGTGACAGATGTGGGATTCAAAAAGTCACTTTCTTATTTCTAAGTGAAATTGCAGGGCCACTTTTCCTAACTTCCCTTTCCCCAATGTTCTCCCTTAAAGCCTTTCAGGGGCCCAACCTTTTTCTGACCCTTGTACATCTTATTTTTTCTGATTCCTGAATTCTCCACGCACTGAATATGTTCAATGTCCCTAACAAATAACCTGGTCCCATGGAAACCAAACCCAGTCCTACTAGTAATTGTTTAGAAGGAGAGGGGAATGGTATAGCAAAGAGCATCTCTGAATCACGGCACCTTCCCAAGTCTTTGTATCCTGAAAAGGAGGTGAAAGTCAGGACAAGAGAGAAATGTATCTCTCACTATAGGACAAAGCAGTTGAGCAGGGCCAGACAGATCAGACTTTCTTCCAATTCTTAATAATCACCCTCAGACCTCTTTGCAAATGGGACGGTACTTACATGCTCCAGGAAACAAGGTCCTATCTCACTGAGATGGGGGTCATCATTGTTGTATTGTTTCTCCAGGTCTCTCACAAATCCCATCTGAAACCGGTAGATGTCTTCAATGTTCCCAAAGATCACCTTTAATTGCTCATCACTGAACATGTCTCTCCTCTTACGGCATTGTTTCAGGTATCCCTGTAGACAAAGGAAAAGACCAGGATGAGGATATCCCCAACTAACCCTGCCAGAGACCTCTACTAGTTCCTAAGGATTTAAACCATCTCATATATGTCGATAGGTCACACTGTGGTTGCCTGTGTGTTGCTGTGATGTGGACAGCTACATCACTGATATTTCAAACGCAAGCAGGGTCATCCAAAGTGAACAGGTTTCAGCAGAGCTTCCACACTGTGAACAGACTATGAAGAAGGAGGCAGTTTTCCACTTTGGAGGAAATAGCTGCTGCAAGCCTTATGAATAACACGTAAACATTGTCAGATACTGAAAGCCTAATGAATGGAAGCAGAGCATTGTGGGAATAGTGACAGAAAATGGGCACTTTGGATAGGAAATCACCTGAAATGTGACTAATGAGCTGCTTTCTAAAAGTAGAGTCAACCATGGTGATGTGAATGAAGTAAAACCTATGGGAGTGGAGCCTCTGGGAAGTTCCCTTGCTGACAGAGGTAAAAAGCAGCAGTTGCAAAAATCTACTAATAATCAGAACTAGGAATGTACAATATATGAATCAAGGCAAATTTGAAGTCATTAAAAAATGAAATGGAACCCATAAAGATAGATATCCTAGGCATTAGTGAACTGAAATGGACTAGTATTGGCCATATGATTTACTATGTTGGGAATTACACAATCAAGAGGAATGGAGTTGCATTCATCATTAAAACGGACATTTCAAGATCTATTTTGCAATACAATGTTGCCTTTGATAGGAATATATCTATCCATCTTCAAGGAAATACAGTAAGAATAAGTGTTATTCAAATGTATGCACCAACCACAAAAGCTAGTGATGAAGAAATTGAATAATTCTACAGATATCTTCAGTCTGACACTGATCAAATGTGCAATCAAGATGCATTGATAATTATTGGCATTTAGAATGCAAAAATTAGAAACAAAGCAGAAAGAACAATAGTTGGAAAATAAGGTGTTGGTGATGGAAATGAAGCTAGAGATTACATGACAAAATTTTACCAGACTAACAACTTGTTTATAGCAAATACATTTTTCAGCAACACAAGTGACGACTATACACATGGACTTCTCCAAATAGAATACACAGAAATCAAATGGACTACATCTATGGGAATACGTGTAGATACTGGAGAAGCTCAATGTCAGCAGCTAAGGTTAGGCCAGCAGCTAAATGTGGAACAGATCATCAATTGCTCATCTGTAACTTCGCGTTGAAGCTGAAGAAATTCAAACAAGTCTACGAGAACCACAATATGACCTTGAGACTATCTGAATTTCAAGACCATCTCGAGAGAGATTTGAAACATTTAATATTATTGACAGAAGACTTGATGAACTGCGGGAGGACATCAAGAACATCAGCCATGAAGAAAACAAAGGTTATTTGATCTTTTCTTTCTTTCAAGAAAGAACCTTGCTTTTTAAATAACCTTACCATCTTTCTTCACCACATTTACTTATGCACCCATTTTGTCTTCATCGATTGTGTTGAGAAGGTGAGCATCACAGAATGCCGGATTTTAGAACAAAGTGTTCTTGTGTTAAGGGAGTACTTGAGTTGAGGCCCAATGTCCATCTGCAACCTCAATTCTTAACCTTTAGATATGAGTACATAGTTCTATTCCCCTCTCATTTTATATATATATTTTACATATGTAAATGCCTGTATTTAAATCTTTCTAAACGTCCTTTGCTGCCTGGTTCTTTCCTCCATTTCCTTTTTAGTTCCTTCTTGTCCTACCATAATGTTCCACCTTCCTTCGGTTTAGTAATTCCTTGCTGCTACATTGCCCTTGATTGAGCTCCACTAGGCATCCTACAACCTTCCTTCCACTGATTTTAATTCACTGTTGTTTCCTTGTCCCTGGGTTGGTCCCCCTGCTCCTTTCTCCCAACTCCCCTTCTCC